CCTGGTCATGTGATGTGCAGGGCGCACAGGAACAATTACCATATGGATAGACTCTTTTGTGCCCTTTCCATAGCTCTATTTTGCCATGAAGTCTGCACTTCCCACAAGTCCTTCCAGACATAGTTGTGTTTAATAGCGAAGTGAAGCCTATGCAGTACATGTTTTCAAAGCTCACAGTGTTTCCTGGTCAGGACCTTTATATATGGTGTTTGTTGTGAAATTGTGAAATGCCTTAATAGCCCATTTCCGAGTTCCTGCATGATTGGAGACTGGTGCCGAAGTAACGCACGAGAGCGAGGCTTCGTGCGAAGAAATCCAACATGGACGCCACTCTTGACAGCAATGTTGCTTGTGCTGACGAAGATTTTTCGAAATTGAAAGTCCATGATTTAAAAAGATATTTAAAAGAGCGTGGTATCCAGTTAAGCGATGGGGGCAAAGGCAAGAGGAAGGCAGAGCTTGTCGATTTGTGCGAAAAAGCGGCAGCGATGAAACAAGCCAAGTTAGACGATACCGCCGAAGACCGCAACAAGCTGATGGAGGACAAACTGCGGACAAACGATGGTAAATTGCCAGATCCTAAAACCTTAACCGCTTGGACCAACAACTTTTCTAACATCCCGGAGTTTACCTTCGGAGACCTTTACAACTACCTAGTGGGGAAGGAAGATTACTCTAAGGAGAATCTCCGTTCGTTTAAAAGTTTGCTGGGCTTTAAATTATTTCGTGATGGCCATGTTATCGATTTAAAGTATTGTCCGCTAGAGAAGAACAACTTTTGTTTCTTCAAGTTTAAAGTTAAGCCCACTGAAAGAGCCAAAACGGAAGATGGACAGGCTACTTACAATGGTTTCACAATTCTAAAATCCAGCGGAGAGGTACACGCAGCATTTTGCCCGTGTAAAGGAGGGAGTGATGGTTGCTGCAGGCACGTTGCCGCTGTGTTGTTTGACCTCCAGGCCACAGTTAGCAATAATTTGATGTCAACGTGCACTTCTGGGAAATGTGAGTGGAAGAAAAGAAGTGGGAATAGTCAGTATGCTACCCTTTTAAAGAATTTAAAGATTGTTAAAGCTGAGTTTGGTAAAGCTGAAAAGGATCCTGTAAAACCACATAATTTTCAACCAGGACTCTCATCTTTTGATTCCAGCTCAATGAGAGAAAAGCTGAGGAGGGGTCTACAACAGTTATACCCTCAGTCAGTGGCCATTCACTTTCTCCCGAAGCCAGAAGATCCAGACACACCAGAACCATTAGTGAAAGAACACATTACCAATGATGCAAATGTTGAAAGGTTTGAAACTGTGGAGAATGTTACTGTTTACACTATGAAAGAATATGCAAACATTTTTAAATGTCAGAACAACATTGACAACAACATGGATATATCTGAAGACATTGTTGAGTCGTTTATGAAGTTTTTGTCTGTCAGTGAAAGTCAGTGTGATGTGATTTGCTCGAAAACAGTGCATCAGGGAAGTAGTCAGTTGTGGTTTGACCAGCGATCAGGCCGCATAACAGCTTCAAACTTTTACCGGGTGTGCCACATGAGAGACACAACAGACAAATCAAACATTGTCAAACTACTTATGAACTACTGCCCAATGGAGCATATACCTGAGCAGCTAGAGTGGGGCCATGAAAAGGAAATTGCTGCTTCAGAACTTTATTTAAAGAAGATTTCACTGAAACACAAGGAACTACACCTTCTTGAATCTGGCCTTGTTATTAATCAGAAGTGGCCTTTTCTTGGTGCAAGCCCCGATCGAGATTCGCTCACTGTGAATGTCATGGTAAGACATTAGTTGAGTGCAAGAGTTTGTTTGCCAAACGGAATCTGCTACCTGGAGTTGCAGCTTCTGACAAGTTGCTCAAAACAACGAAGGGCTTCAAGCTGAAGGAAGAAACTTCCTGGTATTACCAAATCCAGGGCCAAATGGCAATCTCTGGGATTCATGCCACTGATCTTGTAATTTATACAAACAAGGGGATTTTGATTGTTCATGTGGATTTTGACAAGGAGTTTTTTCTGCGAATGTTGGAAAAGTTACAACTGTTTTTTTCTAAGTTTATGGTGCCAGAGCTTCTCACTGGAAAAATATTAGGTGAAGTAAGGTCATAGCTTATTCCATAAGGTTTTATGTGTAGTTTTCCACAGAATGAAGTGATGTGAACTCTGTGAATACAAATGAACTGAACTTGTGACCATCACAGTGAATCGCAATTTAAGCAATTGTCAAAATAGCCCCAAAAAAAAGTTTTTTCGGGCTTCAACGGATTCGAACCTGTGGCCTCTGTGTTCATGCTGCAGTGCTCTGTACCAGCTGAGCTATGAAGACCCATACACTGGAGGCCGCCACTTGAAATTTGAGCTCATCAAGCCGGTAAAGGAATGAAACACAGAATGAAATGAATGTGTAGTATGATGTTGATGATGTATTGTGTGTAGTTTTGTTGTAAATTACTTCACATATATGTTTTCATTTAAACTCAGGGCTTCCCATGTGGTGCAGCATACTTCTTTTGATAAATAACTTGAAAGCATGGTTTTATTGTAGTGATTGTGTGGTTTATGCAAAATCTGCAGTTTGATGTGGAACTACATAAATATTATTTAACTGGGTTGATGTGATGTCTTTATGTGTACATGCAAATTGTGTTATTATATTTGTATCCTTTTGCCTATAGTTGGAATAGAAATTGAATCCAGATTACAGCCAGATTTTCCAGAAATGTTTTCACTGCTTGAGTGCTAAAACATTTTACTTGAATCCTTTATTACACATACTCCTGCTATTTGTTGTTGTGAAGCAGTGCTAAATAAGAAAATATTCAACAATCCTTGTTGTAGGAATCTGGGATATGTTATCTGGCCAGTGGCTTAAGTAAATTACAAAGAGCTCCACAGACTATCAACATCTGGTCAGCAAGTGCAGCCAGGGTCAAAGGCAAATTCCCTTGAAATATCTTGAAGTCTTTCAATCTTTCGATGGCCCTTTCAACATGAATTCGCACTCTAGCAATTTGACGAGTGTTTTTTGTGGCTGCCCGTGATAGCTGTTTACCTGAAAAATAATGTGTTTTATTTATAAAAATATACCATAAAACTCCGATAATAAGCCCCCAAAAAAAAAAAAAAAAAAAAAATTAATAATAATAATAATAATAATAAGCCATCCCAAAAAAATAAGCCCCCAAATATCAGACACAAATCTCCTCCTGATAATAAGCCATCCCGAATATAAGCCCATAGACTGTTATGGTTAGCTTTTGTAGGCTGTCATCTTAGTGGTTTAAGCTGTTTTTATAGTCAAGCCCAGCCCATTTTGAATTGCAAAATTCCTTCCAATAATAAGCCCCCTGCGAAAAAACCTTTTAGCAAATACAAGTCCAGGGCTTATTATCATAAGTTTATGGTATATGTGTTTTTTTAAGAATATTACATAGTTTGGTACCTACATTTATAAGGGCTTTTAAAGTCTAATGTTATTACAAAGGTAAGCTAAAGTGATATTTTGACAGCTTTTTCTTAGTATAAAATTGAGAATTATCAGTTGAACTCTGGGAAACCTTATTAGTGAAAAAATGTTAAATATACCAATTAAATCTTACCTTTTTAGAAAAGGGAGGAATGTTAAGATAAACTTTCTTCTTTGTAAGGATGTCTCTAATGTTAAAACCCCTGTCAGCCATCACTGAATCGCCCTCCTCTAGCATGTCTACCAGTCCACTTTCCTGGGTGATTTTCCTGTCACTGGTACTTCCAGTCCAAAATTTGAGAGAAAGCTAAAATAGCCAGAGGGGTAATTCCAACAAGAGCCTTTATGGTATTGTGCCCCTTATATTCACTCCAAGTTGCTCTTTTGTGCATAAGGAGAAGTGGGTTTTTCTATAAACATTTCTGTGCAATCAATTATTATTCGTGTATTGGGGTACTTGTTGAATGAGCGAGGGAGGTTTCGTTTAATTTCGTCTTTACTTGGCCAGAGTACTAGTACCTCTTGAAATATGGATGCAAGAAAGCAAACCCATGTTGTGAATACCCTGCTTAACTGTGACTGTGAAACAGAAAATGTGTCAGCCAGTTGTCTTCCCATCAATCCAAGTCTAAGCCTCACAAGAGTTAAAACCAATTCTTCAGTCAGTGTTAGACTTCTTTTAGGTCCAGGTTTGCTGTTGGATGTTGTCTGGTATTTCATTTGTTTATTCTTGTTTTTGTCCCAGTATTTGAGCTTTTCAGCTTCTGGCTTTATCAATTCTGAAATCAAATTGAAACATCCCAGTGTGGGAATTCCAGTGTAAAACTTCACTGAATCATCATTTTCAAGGACATCCTCCATGAACAAGTCACGTTTTAGTTTAGCTTTATCGTTAAGTCTATTTTTGAGGTTTTTAACTTCATTTTCCAGTTGTTCTAAATCGAACAAAGTCATGTCAGTTTGACAACCCACTGACCTTACCATCTCAGGTTCGGTATCTTGTAACAACACTGTCGAAGATCGATCATCTTCTGCTGAAAGGCAGTACGAATGGTCATGCTGAACATCGCAGAAATCAGCATTAGACGATCGAACATCCACCAGATCTGTAGTAATTTCTCCATCTGCATCAGCAAGCGAAACCTGGCTTGGCAAGAGAGTGTTTGTTTTGCAGTCGCTAAACTCCAGCCGTCTTCTCTTCCGTGCTGTTTCGTAACGAACACTTCTCGGTGTGCATTCATCGTTTGGTCGAAATATAGTTGGCAGAGCAGTGTTGTATGTTTTTCTCCTACCGTTCAAAGTTTTTCTATAGGCTTTGGGGTCAAAATGAGCGCTGCAAATCCGCAAATTGTTGCTCTTTCCTGCCTTTGCCTTCGCTGACTCCACTGAAAACTTTTTGTCCGCTCGGCGGCAGAATTTTATCCAACTTCCAAGCCTCTTGTCCGAAGGAAAAATAAAATATGACAGATCATTTCGATTGTGATTCCCATTATTGCAGCAGGCGACTGAGCAGTAGACCATCTCATAAATATTAAAACATTCAGAGCAGTGAAAACCCCTCAATCGCTTTTTATTTTTCGCGCCGCCAAGAGGGACTTCGCACGAAGCCTCGCTCCCGTGCGTTATTTCGGCACCAGTCTCCAATCATACAGGAACTCGGAAATGGGCTATTTGTTGTCGTCTTTTGGACATGCATTGTCCAACTTGACAAGGGGTACTTAATAGACCTTTTTACCGATACAGCGGCCACATTGAATTAATTAGATTTAAGGAGTATTATGGAATGCCCTGGGGGCACTCGTTCAGTATTTACACGTGCTTTTTGGGCAAAAAGAGAACTTCACTGTATATTTCTTGGGAAAAAGGCGATCATTATTACATCTAGCCAGAATTTCAGATGACTACCTTTTACTCCCTCAGTACATCTGAATTGACCGGCTGTTAATGCCATCCAGTGGCGTCACTACTCCTTTGCTTTAATTCATGCAAAAAGTAAAACACGTAAGGCACAAAGTACATGTTAACGTAAACCAGGCAAGTAAATGAGCGAATCGAGGCAAATGTCTGTAAATGCCGGTGACAGAAGTCCACTTTGCAGGTTTGGCATTGCTTTGCCTCTGTGGGAAGAAGGCAAATGACAAAGGGATTATTAGTGTGATGCAACTCTGTATAAACGTCATTAGTGTTGCTTTGAGGAACTTCAGCTGCTGTGCTCTGTTGTTTTGAGGGACAATATTTTTTTTTATTTCTGCCTCCCTTTTTCCCTGTACTCTTAGGGAACTTTGGATTTCTGCACGACAAAGTTCAAGTGTTCTTCAAGGCACTCTTTAAACTGAGGGACTGCAATGGAATGCTTACAAGTGTTATCAAATTTGTAGCTCGGACAGTTGCAAGATACAAAATTTGTGTTAACTGTACATTGTACTCTCCCGTTCTTGGCATGGATTGCAGCGACTTCGAATTTATTACTGGTTGGTTGTAAGGTTGGCTGCTCCTTGATGGCAAATGGGTGGTTAAGTAAAAGAAGTGCACTTTCTGCAACATGTCTTGCCGTGACGGTCTTGTATCTCATATTTTGTTCAGGAAAGTGGGCCACATCTACAGACAACTTGGTAAATTCTTTCTTGGGTAACTGCTCTGGCTGTACATCAGGCTCACGGATGCATTTTCCATTCATTGCTTCCTCCACAGACATTTTATTCACGTCTGAGACATATTTCTCTCGTTCTTCTGTATTCCAGCCAAACCACTTGTCGGTCAAGACGGCCAAGTGAGACACAAACTCGGAAAGCTCATATTCTTCGCTTATTCCAGCGAAGGCCAAACGAAGCTCCTCTTGCTGTTTCAGTTTAATTTCTTCGAACACCGAGGTTGTAAATTCTAGCTTGGTCAAGCCATTTTCCTTACCATCCTTCGCCGAGACAACACCGTTCTTAAAAGTGGACATCACATGATTTTCACGAGAATGAACTATATTCAAAAATTGTACACCACCATCGCTAGTTCATTAGTCCTTTTGTCCACATGGTTCATGGATTCAGATGGGTTGGTGTATGATCTGATTGGTTTTCCGTCAGGACCGTCTTTCAACCCAGCTTGGCGTCGGACTTTCGCAACTATGTTATCCTTCATCATCTTGGAGGTTAATTCCAGGTATTTCCAGAACTTGCATTGGTATGCATCATCTTTGGCAAGCACGGCTCTCTCTTCCCTGTCTAGCTCTCTTCGCTGTCTAGCTTGGGTCTTCGTTTTAGTCCATGCGGTCTTCGTTTTAGTCCATGTGGTCTTGTGTTAGTCCAAGGCGTCTTTGTTTTAGTCCATGGGGTCTTCATTTTAGTCCATGGGGTCTTCGTTTTAGTCCAAGGGGTCTTTGTTTTAGTCCATGAGGTCTTCGTTTCAGTCCATGGGGTCTTCGTTTTAGTCCGTGGGGTCTTTGTTCTAGTCCATGGGGTCTGCGTTTGAGTCCATGGGGTCTTAGGTCTTCGTTTTAGAAACACCCGGCAATTGTGTCCAATCACAAAAACATCACTTTTTCTCTTCTCTGTTGTTGTTTGATCATAAAACTGTGTTACCAAGTATGTGGAATTGTTCCAACAAAAAGCAACTTTGAGCCAAATTGTCAGTAACAATGTCCATCTGGCTGGATGTCTTTCCAGGAAAGGAGGAAATTTTATCTGGAAATAGCAGTAGCTGAAGAGTGAAATTGGCAGTGGGTTTTTCCCTAAAATTCTTTTGGTTTTTTGTGTGTAACTTTAGCAGGATTGGTTAGGATTCCTAAAGTGAGGTATCTGTGCAGAGATCTACCCTTCTTGAATTTGTTACTTATGGTTTGGCATATTTACAGCATATTTACCACAAGTTTGTTATTGTGGAGAAATTCAGAGTCCACATTTTCAATTAGTAACACGTTTTCCATCAAACTTTCAATGCTTTCTTTGTTTTTGAAAACATCTTGTCTTAGAAACTTGCTTACTATCTTTGGGAAGTCTTTCACTGGGTAGTGTTGGTCATCTTTTTCAAGATGAAAGTTCACTTTAAAAACATTTGCCCGATGCAGTTCAAGGAGCAAATAACTTTAACCCAGGATTTTTGGTTGTTTTCTTTTAGCAATATCTGTATTTGCAAATGGGATGTGTATGTGAACATACATTCTTTATTTGTCAACAACAAATGCTGTTTGGTTTGTTGTGTGCCTCTAGGCTGGCATAACTGTGGTATGCAATGTCGTAGCAGGCTGTTTTCCCAAATATTGCTTCAGTTTGCAGTTTGTTACAGTGTAAAAACTACCATGATCAAATTGTATGAGGTGATCTCAAAATGAGATGTCAGTGGTTCTTACGAATCAGTAATTTCCCATCAACATCCTGCACTTTTTAAATGGCATTATATTCTAAACTAGAGTCATTCTCAGCATGAGATTCTGTTCCAAGGTTATGAGCAATATGAATGTGGTGATTGTGAAGGAATATTGTTTTTCTGACTTGTTTGAAATTTACAATAGCAAGGTTCGAAATGTTGCACTCATTGTCTGTGAGTGGTCTATGGGAGTGAAACCCCAAACGGAATGATGGAATCCAGTAATAGTTTAAATGAAGCCAGATAATTGTTCGTTATTCAATCTGAAAATTTAAAGGTTACAATGTGTGTAAAGAAAATGAAAACATCTTTTCAAAACAATCTAAAATGTTTTATTACAAGGATTAGCTATTGAAGCGTAAATAATTGTATCTGTTCGATTCCATAAACGTTAAGATACCAACACGAGACATCAAATAACTATCTGACTCCAATTCTTTGGTTTAATCACATCAACAGGAACAACTTTCTACAGACATTCTTGTCTTCTTCAATCTCGCACGTGTTTTACAATCCCATGATCCTTTATGTTTCCAGTTCTAGACCATTACATCATTAGCAACTATTTCAGCATGGATTGTCACGCTATTCAAAAGCAACTGTCACGGAGGTTTCTACGTGTTTTCCTAAACTTAGAAAGTTTGAATATCTCAAAGTTCTTAGATCTTAAATCTTTCTGCTTTCGACAGTATCAACCATGCAGTAAATCAATTCAGTTTTGTTGATGAGTAAATGCAACTAGAAATCCAAGATCTATACATCAGTTTAACTAACCAAAATGAACTTACTTCATGCCAGGATTCCAGTGTTGACAGATCCATAAAACCAGTGAAACCTAGAAATCTGCAATCATTTCGTACTAAAATTTAGTAACAATTAATGTTTTCATAAGAAAGCTGATCCTATTACATCAGTAAAATCATAAAGACTAATGTCACTTCCTCAGAAACTGTCATGCAACAAAATGGGGAGAAAATGCAAACTCCTATGATGGATTTATGTTGATACCCTTGAGAACAAGAACTAGAACAAGGAATAACAATCCTAGGGCTGATGATGGATATTATGAAGCAGTTGCACACAGTGTTCATAATGCAACCATAAAGTTCATAATGGAGTCAGACAATGTTTCAGGAGAAATTACACATGGCTATTTTGCTTTTCCCGCGTGTATTACATTTGGTAATTTTCACAGTGTCAGTCACTGTCTTGACTCTACGATTCTTCACTGTTGTAATTGGAGTTTGTGGACAGACACTTGCAAGTTGGGCATGCTGGTAGCCAGGTTGGCCTGGGTCTCTTTGTCAGACAGTTGGCTCTTGTTGCCAGACATTGGATTGATATCAGGGAGTATTTTCTAGGTGAAGTTTTCCTCTTCATCTTCATCTTTGTCTTCTTGTTGTTGCACGTCCCACTGATAGTCAGTTGTTGACGTCAATTGGTATTCCTCATTCTCTCTAGTACTTTGTACTTTGGAAAGATCTTGAAGGAGATCTTCCAGGTAATTGGTCTGCTCAAACTGAGCAACACCTTTTGGAGTGGAGGCAGGTTGTGTAACAAGGATGCTTTTTAGAAATTGATTGTCAGGCGCATTTGAAAACCTTTACTTGAATTTGCACTATAGAAATGAATAAATTGTTATAATTATTATTATAATTGCTTTGAGGTAATTGTGCATTGCCTCAGGGGGGCGAGTTGCTTTAAATGTTTGGACCACCTCAGGCCCCTCCTGCCTCCAGGTGTATTTCCTGGGATGGCTCAGTAGTGTGTTGGGCACTATTATTTGCAAAGCCAAAAGCAAATTGGCAAAGACAGGATCTTCCATGGCTCTCATAAAATTGCGTAGATCACTGTGTGTTGGTGTGTCTCCTATCTCCAGGTCTTTTTAGTTTTTCATGTAAACCGTATCCTCATATGATGAAAATGATAGACTTTCTTGCATACAATGCATCTGCCGTCTTACTAATAGCATATCCTGGGTGCGTCAGCCACTTAAAGTTAAAGGAATGGATTTTTTAGAATATTTCATGGGCAGGTAAAACACCAAGCGCTGGTGTGTAGGGAGGGAACAGGCCTTTGGTGATGTTCTTGAAATAATATTAATGTTCCTCCTTGGATCAAGCGTCCATTGTTGGCAATATGGTTGACAAGGAAATAAAAAAAAT